AGAGATTCTATCAAAGAGCAATTAAGGTAACAATAATGATCTTGAATGCAATTGAATAATATATCAATAGATGATGCACTTGTAAGGCTTTTTAGCATTAGAAATTCTTCTATAAATCTCGCAACATCAATCGTTTCAAGTGTTAGATGCTGAACTTTCTTTGTTAGATGTTTACGAATTTCAGTAACAAGAGTTGCAAACATTTTTCTTAATCGGCGAAATTCATCGTGAACATTAGATTCAATGCTAACGTTAACTAGAGTTACGGAACCTGTAATGTAGTTCCATTAAATTATAGTTTACATGAATGGCTGCACATACCTTCTGGTGTTTCTTCCTCCCTTACTTCAGCAATCTTATCAGCCACTGCTCTCAATCCCATCTCTTTTACAGCAGTTGCCAATTGCTTTAGTGTAGGTTTACCATGCGTATCAACATCATAATTCTGGTCGAGCCAACAAATCAGGCATTTTTTAAGGCATCCTTTAACATTTAAAGGATTATCAGCTCCAATTGTATCAAGTTCTGTCTGATTGATATGTAGCTCAAGCCCCAAATCATTCCATCTATCTGCTGGAAAACTACTCCTTTTCAATGTAGTAATGACTTTCTTAAGATCTTTAATACCTGTTAACAGGAACTAATAACAAACACAATGACAAGAATACCAACATAAGATTTTGTCTGGTGTTTGTTTGACTTGTCTTCTAGGAGTAGCCATAACTATACTTGATTGTAGAGTTGCCTTGTTGTGTCTACTAGCTAGGTGGGGTCAAACATAGAGCTATAGTGTTTATTCCAATAAATATCATTATATTTAAGGTCACAGCAATAAATATTATTAATAATCAAAAACAACAAGCAAATATACTGAGAGAAGATATACACACTATTCTTTTATTTATAATAAATATATATATATACATGTAGAGTATATGTATAGCAATGTTAATGATACTGTATGGAGTAAGGATGCTTCTCCATTGATGAAACATGACGTAACATATCCTTCTTTGTAACTATACCCAACAGCAGTGGCGGATCTGGGTGCAAGTTAATGGTAGGGCCAGGAAGTGGGTGTGTCCACTTTTCAACCAGTTATTTTATGGTTATGCATCTTTTGGCCATTTTTATGATGGGTTTCAACAATTTCCTCATCTATGCAGTGCTTATAATGCTCTTCAAGCACTTGTAAGTACTCTGGTGTGGCTTGTGGTTGGCTTTATCAAAACTTGAGGCAGGGAATTGCTTACATTGCATCTAATGAATCTCATTACTGACTTCTTATGCCCGGGCCATGGCCCGTCTAGGCCCGGGCCCAGATCCGCCACTGCCCAACAGACGACTAGAAATATAAAAGAAATAAATATAAAATTAAAACTAGTACTAGTGTAGTGTCACAAGTACATAACTTAAAGCTGTAAAAGTACATGTACATGTATAAATGAATTAGCTTTTATTCCTTACCCATTGCGTGACACAAAAGCTTGTCTCAATCCCATCTTCCCAAATAACTCAACTACAGTTTTCATTGGAGTCTGATCTGATACTTGTATAGGAGCCTAAGAATAGGAGAAGATAATAATAGAATCATTTGTCCCCTTTTCTCTTTCCCCCTCTCTCCCCCTCTTACAGGGTCAATGGTTCCCCTAATGTTAACTGATGGTACGTCACTATTAACAACGGCTTCTTGAAGATGATGAGACTTATCTAAAAGAACACCCTGGACTCCTCAGTGACGTCTTCATTTTTTCTAGCATCAATCAACTCTAAAAACAAATAATAATTGCAAATAATACATGTACATGTATAATACATAATAATACATATATGTATTGTGTACATGTACACAACTGCATGTACCTAGAGATGTCATTATGTCCTTCCTAGTTAGAAATCCTTCCAGCAGCTGTGTTTCGTTACTCAATAGACATTGATATTCAAAATAATTAGATTCCCTAACTAGCTTGCGTAATGAGCCTGAGATAAAAATAGATATATGTGTAGGTTGAAGTCATGATAATTATAATTTTTATCTATAGTACAGTAAGTCCACAATGATGTGTTCATTGTGGTGCAACTCTCACTAGCTTACGTAAAAGGTCACGTAATAAGTGAGAACAACAACATAATGAATAATTATAATTATTTTAATTCATATTGCCACACATAATATCATTTAATTCATATTGCCACACATAATATCATGGGCGTAGCATATGAATACAATTAGCCACATCCATTACCACTCAATGATAGTATAGTGTAGGTGAATGGTTTTTTTGCTGTGTAGTCATATGTCATAATGATGCAATGTCCATGTACTGGTATTCATGTACAATGTCATTCATTCTTTTGACATATACGGTCTATGTATATCCGTATACCTTTTCCTTATATAGAGTTGTTGTTTGTCATTGATAGTTTAGATAATAGTTATTACTCTTTAACTAATACATGATTCAAAAACAACAAAAATAAAAGTATTAAACATTACTGTGTTTCTTAATAGCATTAGGCATTCTATCAGCAGCTGCATTGTCTCCAGTACTCCTAACTGCTTTTATCAATGTCGGCCATCTTGTGTCCTTGACTTTATCCACTTTATTAAGCCACTGTTGTAGAGTTTTTCTCAAATAGTCTGTACTATCACCTTTCTCTTTTTCAATAACATTCAGTGTGGTGATGTAGATTCCTAGAGCTAGTCCAAGCTGTTCCCAGCTAACTGGTCCAAACATTGCTTCCTTGAGTACTGTCTCAACTAGTGCTAAATCCTGTATAGCTATAGTAATGGATATTCATGAAATGAATGTATGAATTAGGATACATGACATTACTTAGTTCAGACCCATTGCTGTGAGCTATTAAAAAGGATAAAAAAGATATTAAAATTAGGAATAATAGTCTTTACTTGCTGCCATTTGTCACAATTAAGCTTCCTTTTGCCTCCTCAGCAAAGATAGTAATTAATGATATTCATATTCCTTATATGGGAGATTGATTCATAGTTGAGGTTGACCACACTATAATACTACTGGCCTATTCTCCTTATATATAGGAATAGAAAATAATTTCAATAATGACAAAAAACTAAAAATAAGCAAGAATAATAATTATTAGTTGATATTGTGTCATTTTAAAATGCCTTGCATCCTCTCAGCAGCTGCATTATCTCCAGTGCTTCTCACTGCTCTTATTAAGTTGTCCCACGTGGTTCCTGTAACATTATCTTTCTTTTCCAACCAATATTGAAGAGTTAGTTTGAGATAATCGTTAGCGTCTCCATTAGTTCTACCAATCACATTAAGTGTCGGCATAATGAGACCAAGGGACAATCCTAAATCAGTCCAATGAACTGGTCCAAACATTGCTTTAGTCAAAACACTTCTCACTGTCTTTAAATCACCTATATCTAAAATTATAATGTATAAATATACGTACATACAGTATATGTTCTATTGTACCTAGTTCACCAAACTTTCGCTTTGAATATTCCTCGGGGTGTGATACAGGATGTCTAGCTGTAGAAGCAGCAGCTGTGCCTAAAATAAAGCATTTGAAAGGATACTAATGGAATGTGTTTTACTTGATATGCTTGTTCTCATGCTTTCTCCATGTTTCTTCAATGTAGCATTGTCTACTAGTTCAGATTCAAATATCTTACATATGGCAAGTAGACAGACATTAGGATCATCACTATCCTTTATCTTGTCTCTTAGGGTAAAAGCCACTTCCCTGCCTCTTTCAACACCTTGTTTGGTCATTATAGCCTCTAGCTCTTGATCAGTTATCAGGTCTTCAGCATTGAGAGAAGCAGTGACTACAGAAAAGGGTGGATCCTTCCCAAGTATGTTTATGAAGTTTGGCAGTGTCTTTTTAAAGACATCCTTAGCACTTTTACCTACAGTACAGTGCTAAAAGATTGGTACACTTCATAAAGAGAACTGACCTCCTTCAGCCATTATTGTTATTCACTTAGTCAAGAATGCTAGTATCAGCAAATGGGCAGGTTTAGGTTATCTATTACCCACTTCCTTTTTCCTTTTTAGGAGTTACTATGAATGTAATAACTAACATTTATATAATGCTGTTATTGTTATACGTTACAAAGGGTTTCATTATGCTAGATATGAAGTTGCTCTAAAATCAGGCCAAAGCCCTGTACTGTATGCAGTAGATTTACATGGTCTCGGACCAAATTTTGCCAAAATTGAAAAGTTAAGAATTCTCCATTTTTATTACATTTCCTAATACTTATACATGTACTTATGTTGCGTAGAAAGTTTGAGCTGGTTCCAATCAAATTCGGATTTTTTACAAATTTTTTAATTTGCTCCAAAATTGAGCCAAAGTCCCTGTTGTAGTACATGGTCTTGGGCCAAATTTTATCAAAATTAAAAATTAGAGAAGTCATAATTTTTATTACATTTTCTGATACATATATATGTTCTTATGTTGCGTAGAAAGTTTGAGCTGATTCTAATCAAATTTAGATTTTTTACAAATTTTTAAAGTTGTTCCAAAATTGGGTCAAAGTCCCTTTACTGCATGTAGTACATGGTCTTGGGCCAAATTTTGCCAAAAATGGAAAGGAGAGAATTCTCCATTTTAATTACATTTCCTAATTTATATACATGTTCTTATGCTGCGTAGAAAGTTTCAGCTGGTTCCGATTAAATTTAGATTTTTTATGAATTTTTAAAGTCAGACAATTTACCATGAATCATGCTCAGTCTTGTATTATTGATATGAGCATACCAAAGCTCATCCTTTTAGAAATGAAACTGGAACTGGTATTGAGTTTATCACAACAAACACACAGTAATGCATTACTAAGTATTCCTTTTAACAAACTGTTATCATTATCAAACATTATGATTACATCAATTATAATTTACTTTCAGCTACTAGTTTTGTTCAAAGAAAGATTTGTTTATTTATTTGGATTATCAATATTATAATTACTAGAACTAGTCTAAGTTCAGTCAGTTACTTATTGTAGTTGTTCCCAGTCATTTAGTGCAGCATGTACATAATGGGCAGCAGCACGGGCTGCAAATGGCTTCCATTTTTTAGTGGCTTCTTTGTCACCATCACCCCAGTCACCGATACCCTTGATGACAATAGCACTAACACCATGTTCAGGGGCATAATCAATAGCAGCCATTATTCCAGCTCCTTCCATTTCTCCTGCAATAGCATCAGGTTTTTGGGCAAGCAATTCCTGTTT